TTATAAACCAATGTTACTGCAATAAACAAAAAATAAATAAATAAATAAATAAATAAATAAATAAAAATTAAAAAAATAAAAGCATCGAGAGAAAAAGAATTTCTCTCATACAAAGGAACCCCCATGATGCCACCAGTAGATTTCTCAGCAGAGACCTTGCAGGACAAGAGAGAATGGGATGATGTATTCAAAGTGCTGAAAGAAAGAAACTGCCAACCAAGAATACTTTACACAGTCAAGTTGTCCTTCAGAAATGAAAATGAGGTGAAGACTTTCCCCAATAAATAAAATCTGAGGAAATTCATCACCATTAAACTTACCTTACAGGAAATGCTGAAAGGAGTTCTTCAAACTCAAATAAAAGGATGCTAATTAGAAACAGGAACACATGAAAATATACAACACACTGGTAAAAGTAAGCATATAGTCAGATTCAGAATACGCTAATACTGTAATATGGTGATGAGTTAACTAATTAACTCCAGTATAAAGGTTAAAGGACAAAAGTATTAAAATTATCTATAGCTACAACAATTCGTTAATGGATATACAATATAAAACAATGTAAATGGTGACATCAAAAACATAAAAGGCGGGAGTAAAAATGTAGAGATTTTGTATATGATTAAAGTTACATAGTTATCACCATAAAATAGAATTATATATATATATATAATATATATATATAAAACAGTTGTTTTATGTAAGCCACATAGTAACCACAAAACAAAAACCTAGCATAGATTCATAGGAGATAAAGAGAAACAAACCAAAGCATACCACTACAGGAAATCATCAATTCACAAAGGAAGGCAGCAGGAGAGGAAGAAAGGAACTACAAAACAGCCAGAAAACAATTAATAAGATTGCACTAGTAACTACTTACCTATAAATAATTATTCTAAATGTAAATGGATTGAATTCGTCAATCAAAAGTCATAGAGTGTCTGGATGGATAAAAAAACAAGACCCAAACTATATGCTGCCTACAACAGACTCACTTAAGCTTTAAGGACATACATATAGGTTCAAGGTGAAAGGATGGCAAAAGATATTCCATGCAAGTGGAAACCAAAGAGAGCAGGGGTAGCTATTGTTATATCAAACAAAATAGATGTTAAGACAAAAACAGTAATAATAAAAGAGAAAGATGGTAATTATACAATAATAAGGGGGTAAATTCATCAAGAAGATATAGCAATCATAAATATATATGCACCCAACATAAAAGGACTTAATTTATTAAGTAAATACTAACAGATCTAAAGGGAGAAATAGACAACAATAACGACAACAATATGCCACTTTCAAAAATAGATAGACATCTGGACAGAAAATCAACAAGGAAACGTTGTATTTGAACAAAACTTTAGACCTAGTAGACCTAACAGACATACAGAACATCTCATCCAACAGCACCAGAATACACATTCTTCTCAAGTGTACATGGAATATTCTCCAGGATAGATCATATGATAGGTCAAGAAACAAGTCTTAGCAAATTTAAGAAGATTGAAAGCATACCAAGTATCTTTTCTGACCACATGCTATAAAACAAGAAATCAATACTAGGAAAAAAACTGGAAAATTCATAAATATGTGGAAATTAAACAACACACTACTAAATGACCAATGGGTCAAAGGGGAAATCAAGAAGAAATTTTAAAAATCTTGAAACAAATGAAAATGGAAGCACAACATATCCAAACCTATGGGATGTGGCAAAAGCAGTTCTTTTTTAAAAAAAAAAATTTATTGAGGTCATATTGGCTTATAAAAATGTGTAAATTTCAGGCATACATTATTATATATCAGTTTCTGTATAGACTGCATCCTGTTCACCACCAATAGTCTAATTTTTATCCATCACCATATATCTGTGCCCCTTTACACTTTTCACCCTCCCCCACTGGTAACCACTAATCTGTTCTCCTCATCCATGTGTTTGTTTATCTTCCACGTGTGAGTGAAATCATAGAGTGTTTGTCTTTCTCTGTCTGCCTTATATTGCTTAGCATAATACCCTCAAGATTCATCCATGTTGTCACAAATGGCATGATTTTGTATTTTTTATGGCTGAATAGTATTCCATTGTATATATATACCATATCTTCTTTATCCATTCATCCATTGATGGGCACTTGGGTTGCTTCTACATCTTGGCTATTGTGAATAATGCTGTCATGAACATAGGGGTGCATAAATCTCTTTGAATTGTTGATTTCATGTTTTTTGGATAAATACCCAGTAGTGGGATAGCTGGATTGTATGGTATTTCTATTTTTAATTTTTTGAGAAATCTCCATAGTGTTTTCCACAGTGGCTGCACCAGTTTGCATTCCCACCAGTAGTGCATGAGGGTTCCCTTTCCTCCACATCCTCACCAACATTTGTTATTTTTTGTCTTGGTAATTATAGCCATTCTGACAGGTGTAAGGTGACGTCTCATTGTAGTTTTGATTTGCATTTCCCTGATGATAAGTGATGTTGAACATCTTTTCATGTGCCTGTTGCCCATTTTATAATATATTTGTCTTAAATATTTCCTTTACATACGTTGAGAACAACATCAGGCAGCAATATAATTTTTGTTTCAAGCATCAAACATAATTTAGAAAACTCAGGAGGAGAAAAAAAGCCTATTATATTTACTCATATTTTTGCTTACCATGTTCTTTCTACTTTTCTCATGTTACAAGTTTTTTTCTTATTGTTTCCTTTCTGTTTAGAGAATTTCCCTTAAACACTCTTCAAGGTAGGCCTGCCATTGACAAGTTCTCTTAGTTTTCCTTCATGTGAGAAAGTCTTGATTTCCCCTTTATTCCAAAAGGATATTTTCAGTGACTATAGGATTCTGGGTTGACAATTCTTCTTTCACCACCTGAAAAATATTGTGCCACTTCCTTCTCACCTCCATGGTTTTGGATAAGAAACCCACTGTCACTCAAATCATTGCTCCACCATAGGTAAGATACTCTTTTTATCTGACTGCTTTTAAGATTTTTTTCTTTGTCTTTAGTTTTCAGAAGATCATTTGGATGTGTCTTTGTGTAGATGTCTTTGGGGTTTTCTTATTTAGGGTTTGTTCTGATTCTTGAATCTGTAAGTTTATGTCTCTCCAAATTTGAGAAGTTTTCAGCCATAATTTCTTTGAGTATGTATTCAGCTTCACCCTCTTTCTCCTCTCCTTTTGGGACTCAGATGATACAAATGTTAGATCTTTTTTCATAGTTCCCTATATCCTTGAGACTCTTTTCTTTTTTTTCAGTATATTTTCTCTCCATTGTTCAGATTGGATAATTTCTATTGTTCTATATTCCAGTACACTGGTTCTTTCCTCTGGCCCCTCCATTCTGTTGTTGAGTCCATCCACTGAGCTTTTTATTTTAGTTACTGTTTCTTTGACTTGTAAAATTTTCATTTTGTTCTTTTATATGTCTTAAATTTCTTTGTTAAGACTTTCTATTTTTTCACGTTTCAAGTGTGTTTGTCATTTCTCATTGAAGCATTTTTATCATGGCTTCTTTAAAATTTTTGTCAGATAATTCTAACATTTCTGTCATTTAGGTATTGGCATCTATTGATTGCCTTTTTTCCTTCACTTTGAGATCTTCCTATTTCTTGGTTTGATGAATGATTTTTAATTGAAACCTGACATTTTCATATTATGAGACTCTGGATATTATTTAAAACCCTCTGTTGTAGCTGGCTTTCTCTGACATCACTCTTGCAGGGGAAGAGGGGTACTGCCTCATTACTTCCAGGTGGATGTAAATAGAAGTTCCACTTTTCCACTTGGCCTCCATTGACAGAGGGTGGGAGATATCATCATTACTGATGGGTGGTGATGATGACTATTCTCGTTCCTCATGTCTTCTCCACTGACACCATGGTGGGGGTGTTCTTGTTAGTGCTAGATTATGGTGAAAGTTGTGACTCTTTCCTTGGCCTCTTCTGATACCACTCCAGAGGGGAAGAGAAGGGTAACTTCATTATTGCCAGGGAGGGGTGGAAGTCCAGGCTTTCTACATGGTCTCCAGTGACACCATCAGGTGGGTGGCTCATTATTGGCTGATGGAGATGAAAGATTGAGCTTCCCATTTGGCCATCCCAAAACTGATAAAGGTGGCTTACTGTGCCTAGACTATTTGTACAAATGATAAGGTTTATGTTGAATACCTGCTTTCCTTCTGGGAGTCTGGAATTTTGGTATGTGCTAGGCAGAGGGTACCTACGTGACCAGCTCTCAATGGAACCCTTGGGTGCTGAGTCTCCAATGGGCTTCCCTAGGCAGAAACACTGTGCACATGTTGCTGCATTTTGTTGCTAAAGGAAGAGTGCTCTCTGTGTGACTGCTAATGAGAGGGAGAGAGCATAAGGAAGTCTGCACAGAGATTCTTCTAGACTTCACCTGTTTCTTTTCCCCTTACGATCATGCTATATATTCTTACTACATTACTATAATAAATCTTAGTCACGAGTAAAACTGTATGGTACATCCCATGCATCCTTCTAGTGAATCTCCAAATGTGGGGTGGTCTTGGGAACTGACTTTGAAAACAGTTTGGCAGTTACCTTTAAGTACAACATACACCTACCATATGATCAAATCATTCCACTCCTAGATATTTACCCAAGAAAACTAAAAACATATATCCATACAAACATCTGTACATAAATGTTCATAGCAACATTTTCTTGTGTGTGTGTGAGGAAGATTAGCCCTGAGCTAACACCTGTTGCCAACCCTCCTCTTTGTTTTTTTTTGCTGAGGGAGATTGGTCCTGGGCTAACATCCGTGCCTATCTTCCTCCACTTTATATGGGATGTGGCCACAGCATGGCTTGATGAGCAGCGTGTAGGTCTGCGCCCAGGATCCAAACCTGTAAATCCCAGGCCGCCGAAGCAGAGTGCATGAACTTGACTACACTACCGGGCCGGCCCAGCAACATTTTTTAATAGCTCAAACTCTAAACACACACAGGTATACCACCAAGTGAATGGATAACAAAACTATGGAATACTACTGAGCAATAAAAATGGATGATTACAAAGCAGCATGAACAAACTTTTGGGGGTGATGGATATGTTTATTATCTTGATTGTGGTGATGGTTTCATGGGTATATCATATGTCAAAACATCACATTGTATACTTTAAATATGTACAGTTTATTATATGTCAGCTGAACCTCAATAAGGACACATGCTTTGTTTGTTGTATATATTTTATGAATATTCTTTTTATCTACTCAATATTTAATAAATCAATTCAAAAGTATATAATTTTTCCCATCAATTCTTCCTAGGAATAGATGAACATATGTAAATATACAAGAATGTTAATTTATGAGTATGTTCAAGGATATTTACCACTGCATTATTTAAATCAATCAGAAGTTGTAAATAAATATCCATCAATTAATGTGCAGAACAGCAATAAGGCATGTATACTCTTAATATATAGTAAGTTCTTAAAAATCAATAAGAAAAAGACAAATAACCCAATAAAAAATGAGGAAAAATACTTGACAGGCAACTCATAGAAAAAAGTTTAAATGATCAACTAACACATATAAAACATTCAACTTCACTTATAAGTAAATAAATACAAATTAAAGCAACAATGAAACATCATTTTCTAATTGGCAAAAATAAAAGGTTTGATAGTTCCTGCTACTGATGAGGGAATAGATAACCAGTCACTCTCATATAAAGCTGGTTCCATAAAGGAAAAGATTGATCAATAGGACTACTTTAAAATCACAAGCATCTGTTTATTTAAAAGGAGTAATTAAGACTGTGAAAAGGCAACCCACTGATTCAGAGAAGATATTCACAATAAATATATTTAACATAAGATTCACATCCAGTATATATAAAGAACACTTACAAATCTATATGAAAAAGACAGACAACCCATTAGAGAAATAGGCAAAAAAATTGAAAATGCACTTCACAAAAGATGATAGCCAAATGGCCAATGAATATACAGAAAAGTGCTTGACTTCATAAATCATCAGGGAAATACAAATTAAAACCAAAGGGAGATACCAGTACACCCCATAAGAATGGATTTTTAAAAGCTCAAAATATCAAGTATTGTCAAGGACTTGGAGCAACTGGAAAATGCACTTACCTCTCATAGTAGCATAAACTGGTATAACCAGTTTGGAAAATTGGCAATAGCTACTCACGCTGAAAATAAAAGTATACCATAAAACCCAGAAGTTCCATTTTTAGGTATATATCAAACAAAAATGGGTAATTAGGTACAACAATGTTTATGGCAGCTTCATTCATAATATCCAAAACCTAGGAACAACCCAATGTCCATCAATAGTAGAATGGATGAATAAACTGCGATATATTCAAACAATGGAATTTTATATGGCAATGAGGAAAAAAAGAACTATTGCTGTACAATATGAATGAACTTCAAAAAATATAACTTCAAGCAAAAGAATATAGAAAAAAATTATACATACTTATGAATCAGTTTATAAAAAGTAAAACTAACCTGTACTTTTTGAAGTCAGACTAGTGGTTACCTTAGGAGGTTGGGTATGACTAGAAGAAGCCACAGGGGACCTCTGGGGTGTAAGTAATGTTATGTGTGATCTGGATACTGGTTATAGAGGTGACAACATTATAAAACATCATTGAGCTGTACATTTATGATTTGTGCATTTCTCTGTATGTATGATATACTTCAAAATTTTTTTTCCTTAAAA